GGGAAGTGGTTGAGTCCCCATCCCTGGAGGTATTTAAAAGACGTGTAGATGAGGTGCTTAGGGACATGGTTTAGTGGACATGGTGGTGTTGGGTTGACGGTTGGACTCAATGATCTTAGAGGTCTTTTCCAACCTCAATGATTCTATGATTCTATGATCTAACCTGTTATGGCTAATTAATCTCTCAATACCAGCTATGGCACTTTGAACCTAAACAATTGTGTCAACAGGAAAACTGACAGTTATGCTACCACTTACACAGTTGTGAAGGCATCAGATGGCTTTCAATAGTTTTTTGGACCAGAAAATTGAAACTTGCTTGTCCACAAAGCTAGATGGAAATAATGTACTCCAAATTCTGCTTTAGGATAAAGACAGAATTTCCTTGAAAAACACTCTAGAGGCATGACTAGAGGGACTACCAACATGTATACAGAGCTGCTGGTTTACAGAAGCCTTCACGTGTTAGGACTGGATTGATTCAGAAAGCCTAGGGATATATTTTCCAGTCCACAGTTTGTGAAAATATTTCATTAAGATGAATACAGAACCAGTCTCTATCTCAAAGACGACAAACTGGTAGTTGTCTTTTAGAAACACCTGTAAATGAACCTAATCTGTTCTGGGCACAGAATAAATTCCAATCAGTAATGCAGACATATGATTTCTAACTTTTAAAAATACATATTGAAAAGCGATAATGTCAAAAATTAGAAGCAAATCAAGCAAAATTAAGTACAAGGAAAGCATTTAATACAACAATATGACATATATCAGGAACAAACAAGCCTAGCATCGGAAGAACAGGTAAGTTTCACAAAATTGGCAAACAAAGCATTCAAAAAATTCTTCTAATTGATCCTTCTCAAGATGATACATAAGATTATGTATTCATCTCCTGCAATGATAAAGAAACCCTTCACATTCCATTGGGAAAAAAGATCTTAGGTTAAGTAACTTTTGCTAGAGAATACCTACAAAACACACAATATGCTTTGGTTTTACTGAAAAAAAGATCAGCTCCTTTGACTGAAAGGATATTTTTTGCGTACAAAAGTTTCATCCAAATATCTGCAGTCCCAGGGACTTCTTTGTATGTGGCATTTTAAGAGTAAATTGGTATTATTTCCATATACTTTCACAAATCATTAACTGTTAACTGATTTACATGATTGATGTTACAATGTCCTCCTTGCTGCACACAGAAAAGCCTTGGATTTTCTGAGACAAATTTGGTCAGCTTTCCACATGTAGGTCCTTGCTATATGGATAGGTAAGACTTTTTAAAAATATTTAAGTATCATGCCTCCAAGCATTTTAAGACTTGGCTAAGATAACCTCAACCAAGTTTTATCCAAAATTTGGAACTTGTCTGGTGTTAAAAAGGATGGGGGGGGGCGGAATCCTTCCTGCATACCTTCTAGACAATGTCCAAACTACAGCACTTTTCAGCAATGGACAGGCACAATAGTCCTTCGTCTAGTAGAGAACTTGGATCACCAAACTGACTTTGCATTCACTCTGAAGAGTGCCAAAACTGACACTAACTTTCTGAAGGCAAGAAACTACCTCTCCATCTTCGGTTGCACAATCATTCAAAAAACCTGCCAGAAAAGTCATACTGATTTTACTGTAAGCAGGGGCTCATTTTAACAACAAAGATTCTAAATATAACCAAATGCAAAATCAGATACACAAAGAATATAGTTTACTTTAACAAGATAGGACACACATGATCTCTTCTGGCCTCAAATGTGCAAATCTGCAATGGCCTGCTCCAATGATGATCAGCTTTCACTGCTCTTCTCCAGAAGAGGACTGCATTTCCTACCATTGCTCCCCATCCTGCTATTTATCTTTTTTTGTATAATGCTGTGTTTTTCATACTTAGCATTTGATGTAGCTCTAGGCAACAGCAGCACACAAACATCCTTTTTTCCCTTTTGAAAATACTGCGCCCCCTGTTCTTTATAAACTGGACATTTAGAAGAGAGAAAATACTGAAATGTCAAATCTAGCCACCAAAGGGAAAAGACAAAACCTTTTTTTTTTTAGATAATCCTGTGGTGCATAAACTAACCAGGCTCAATTTATAGGGGGAAAAAAAGAAGTACTAATTCTTGTGACAAAGTTATTCAAAGTCACAGATTTCAGTCTAGGTGCTTTTTTGTATTTGAAATATGACTTTGATTTTCTTGTATGCAATTGTTCTGAAAATATTTTTATGAGTAACAGTTAACTTAAATCTTGGACAAAAGCATCCTCACAGAACATTACAGATTAAGTTAAAAATCTATTTTTCCTTTAGGCAAAGCAGCTAGTGAATAGCTAACAATAAAGTAATGCATGCATTTCAGCTCTGTATATCCTTTCAGTGCTCCTGTCCATTAATTAGCCATTGATTTGAAAATGTCGATTTTCCTGATAATGGTTTTATGTGCAGTACTATCAACCTCATTAAATTCCTTTTATTTCACATGAAAAAGTGGATCACAACTTCACATTCATTTAAACAAACCCAGCTGAAAGCAGTACGTTGATTTTTTCCTTCATTTTATGCTTAAAGATTTTCAGTTGCTTCTGTACATAAATGGCTAGCCTGGTATATTACAGGAGGAAGCGTATAAGCTCTTTTTCAGTACAGTAAACAATATACAGTTGTAAGCAAAATTAACTTCCTTAAACAATATACAGTTGTAAGCAAAATTAACTTCCTTAATAATGGCAATATTTATGTTGTTTTCACATGCCCTACAAAAGAGCTGTACATAACACAGGGGAAGAATTCGCTATGGCCATTATAATGACAAACACACTGACCCTTATAAAGCTGAACTTAGTGCATCTCCTGTAGCTTTATCTACTGGGTAAGAAAATAAGGAATGATTTTAAACAATATGGTAAACTTTCAACTCCTTTTTGATCTCCTAAAGTTGAACTCTGGCAACACAAAGAAAAAATAACAGCAACCAAGTGCTGGAAGTTTTAAAGAAAAAATTCCTCTGACTTAAGAACGTTGGAAAGCTTCTGTACCTACTCCTTCACCTTCACGGTTCAGATATGGAGGGTGAACTCATGGGAATGCAATTTATATACTCTCCCTCAAAATTGACCAATTGACTTCAATGACAAAAAATTAATCTATAAAAAAATTTCTAATAAAAACCATATATGACTACAGGTACACAAGTTAAAGTTTCTATTGTAAATGTCGCATTCTAACACCTAAGAAATCTAACAAGCTACTACATTTACCAACTTTGTATATTGTTTAAAGTGCACCTATTTAAAACCAAGAAATAATATTTCTTCATATACAGCTTATGTATTTCATAGTTCTACGGAGCATTTTGTGCCTATTTAAATAGTATATAGAACTCCCTGCACAATAATCCCATTTATTACTAAACACAATAATTTCTAAGGCATATTTTGTCTGAAGAAGGTTTTACTAGCTCACTTTCTTATTTAGTAAGGTAATTAAGTGCATGACTACCTTTCAGTCCCTTGGCCCTATTTCCATGTCTATCATTAGTCATTTCTGGATTAACTTATTGAACTAGGAACTTGCAGAGAAAGATCTTGAACTTAGAAGAATACCAGAGCCACTCTAATACATATTCTAAAAGGAGCCAGCAGAACATACCAAAGTGCAGTGCCAGACAGTATTCCACAATAAGCATGTCCTTGTGGAAAAAGGTGCTTGCATGTAAGAACTGTCCAAAGCTGTGAAACCACAGGGTAACTCACATGTGCATCAGAGCCTTGGACATCTCTTAACTGAAGAAATCAGTGAAGTGTCATTATTAAATGGTAATGAATCACTTCTGTCACAAAACGTCTTTGGAAAGATCAGGGTCGACTGATAACAAAGCAAAGCAGATTTCTTAAAGAGAAGGTCTTCCTCAGTTGTGTACATTTTATTGAACTGTAATTTAATAAAACCCAAAACTAGGAAGACTTCTAAAATTTGACATATAGATTAAAAGGCAGTTGAAAAGATGCTGTAACAAACACATGAGCCTGTTAAATAGTAAGCATCTATCCCATGCAAAGAACAATCCTACTCAGTGTATTGCACATTGATTAAAACATTCACTTGAAAACTGTGGTGAGGAAGATGAAAAAGATCACTAAGGTATAAATTACCTGCAAACAGAGCACTGCCGCTGTGGCTGGAGTGCAGTGAACATCACTATCACAGAGTAGTTACGAGGTGGAGCCTTCACAAATCTTCGGAATTTGTCTCCGTTCATGCGGATGACAGAGCGCCTTGAGCTCCACTCCATCAGCTGTTCCACCTTCTCAGCCAGAAGATTCTATAATTGAGGACAAGGATGAGGAATGTTCAAGCACTTCATACCTACATTCTGCCTTTGCATCCTCAGAGCTTAAGCAGGAGGTTGGGGGCACCCCTATAAAGCTTAAAGCACAATTTAGTCTTCTATGTAGACAAGTAGATTTTAAGTATTAAAAAAGTAACTCAATGTGGTCTTAAACAGAAAGGATACATAAAATGAAATCAAACAGGTTGCTACCGAAGGCAAAGGAGTAGAGTAAGGCTCACTGTCTAAACATAAGATACCAGTACAGCAATCATTTAACTTTCATTAAAAATTGGAAGCTTTAGAAAATGCAGCACTATGTTATATTTATTCTATTTAGTAAAAATCACAGCAGGATATTGTTAGTCACTCAAATATTAAGATGAAAGAAAAATGTAGCTACAAAAAGAGAGAAACCATTATTATGTTCAGAATTTCCTTAACAATACGTATAATATTGAATTTAATAATATAAGTTTTATATTTTGCTACAGACAGGAGTGAACTGTCTTATAAACCCATCTAGGCACATGCCATTATGAGATCAACATTTTTAGTTGCTTTCAAGATTGAGATACCCAAAATATTTTGTTTGAACTATAAGTGTATAAGAAAAAAAAATTTGCTTGTGTGTGGCTTTTCTTTTGCATGAAAACATTCCATCACAAGAATGATTTAAAAGCAGGCTATAAGACATATTAGAAGATGGCCCTCAACTTAAATACATTCATCTAACTATTCCTATGAAAATCTATTTAGATTTTTTTATCAAGTAAGCCTGATGTCACACATGTTCAGCAGAGACTTTTTAGTCTCCTAAGTTACCTAATTTCAGTGAGGTTGCACTGACCATGCTCTAGGTGGCTTGCTACACCTACAGCGTATCAGGATCAATGCAACAATCCGTCCTGGTTTAAGTCTTCAGTTCCCTGCTCAAGGACACTGTGGAAGCTGCCTATATCAAGTAAGAGCTAAAAAAAGAGAGGAGGAAACTGGAATATTACGGCTTGCACACAAGCTGAGTGCTGAGAGAAGGTGGAAAGGACAGAGAGGGGGACAGACAGAAACAGAGACTGAAAGTGAAGAAGGAGCACCAAACGAAAGAGAAGCAAAGTTCAGAAAACTGGAATGTGGGAGATCTCTGATAAAATATGCAGGAGTTAGTGAAAGAGTATACATGCTGATGAGGGTCCACTGTGGAAGGGAAGAATAAACTAGCTTAACAAAACATATTGAAATGGGGATGCTCTGAGAAGGGAGAACATGAAGACAGGCAAGACAAGGACAAAACTCAAATACTGTGCAGGAACAACTGAGCAAGGAGACAAGGTGGCTTTTCTAGGAATTTTTAAAAAAACAGAATGAAATAGAAAAATTAGCTCATCTAGTAACATTTTGACAAATCAGTAAGGCTATAAATAAGAGCAGAGATAGATATATGAGGGAAAGGAAAGTGTAAACTACAAGGATAAAGGAAAATTACATTTTGCCTGTCAGATCTTCCACCTTAAAAATTAGCAGAAGATGCCCCTTGGAGTTCATTATAAAGCACAGCTGGTCATCAGAAGTTTTGAGTCCAAAAGAAGCTTTGATCAGCATAAATCATGAAAAGTTTCGAGATCACCACATTTATTTGACCCTACAAAGCCTTTAAAAAAAAAATCTTTTAGGTTTTCATTCCTATTCTCAGAATTTAGCTGAGATTTGTAGTCACAAATGTGAAGGAGAGATTACAACCCTGCTTATCATGAGAATACCACTGAATCAATTAATACTACATTTTTTCGGTAGTTTTGCTTCAAAAAGATATTTTGTAAGTTCTTTTCTTTAAAAAGAATGATAAAGCAGATTACATAAAAATGAAGCCTATTCATTTGTAAGATTTCCTTGGATTAGCAGTGCCTGGATTAAATCTTTCTATTCATTTCAAAAGATTCACTAGTTTTGCATGAGTCACTCCAGTTGGTAATGTGCAATAAAACATAAGGACCTAAAAAGGATGTGTATTTGTATTTCCAAAAGCTTTAATAACTGAAGCAAAAAAGAGAAACCGAAGAGAACTAATAAAAAGACACAACTTTTAAATTAACACAGGAAGGATGCATAATATCCTACTTGGTACAGAAAACCCAAGACTTTTCAGAATAGACCTTATTCAGAGAAAAGAAATAGAAACCAATGAAGTATCATTAAGAGTATTAAAGCAAAAAAATGATCTTGACAAAAAAAAAAAAACAAGGGAGAAATAAACAGCTTTATTACTGCTATATAATTTGTTTCTACAAAATAATCTGTGATATCAGAAGAGTCTTACTCAAAGAAGTCCCATACAAAGTTTTACTTGGCAGCTTGTTGCCAATAAACAATTGCCTTGTTTCTTGCAGATTCAGCCATGTACAACATCACCTTCACACAGCTCTTGTGCAATACTGTGAAGTTCATCATAATGTTCTCAATCACTTCTATCTTTTGTTTTGCTTTTTCTAAATGCACGAGGTAAAAAGCCAGTAACTAAACTAACTTAATGTTTACTACACTAGGTAATCAAGCTAGTACTTCAGGAGTATAAAAGTCACTAGGTACAATTTTATTACTTGCTTCACTGGATTCTGAAGAAATCTACTTTTTTCAAATAGAAAGTTATCATTGAATAGATTGCAGATAATCACATACATCATGTACAGGCCAGAGTTCTCTTAGGTAATGGACTGCACTTAGATATTCTACCACTTTTTAGTCCGCTTTATTCCAGAAAGTCTCCTTTTGCAGAGTAATTGATAGAAAAGACCTTGGGACTGACAGGTCTAGAATTCACAATGAAGTCTGTGGAATGCCCTGTATTTTATGGCTTCCTGGTGTAACACTTCACAGATAGATGAAGGTCTAATCTTGTTTTGTCATTTATAAAACATTTGCACAATATATGCTGCTGAGTAAGTTATCAACCTTTTCCTCATCTCATTTAATAATGAAATCCAAGAAATAAATCTAGTGTTAAATGAGTTTCCATTTTAGCTGTGCATTTTACGTTGAAGTTGAGTACCTGCATTCAGAAAATATGGCACATTTCAACGTTACAACTGTCTACTTTAGCTTTGGATCAAAAAGGCACTCACTTTTCAGACACTACACTCAGAAAATTAACCAGTCTGTTAAAAAGGTGGGGGGGGAAGTATATTTTAAACAAATGCTCAAGCTAGCAGACTGGCCTTATGGATTTCATAATTCAGAATCTAACTTTGATAATTTTATAAGAAAATTACAAGTTTGTAAGATAGAAGTGTATAAAAAAGAAAAACAGATTGTTGAATAAAGGTGTGAGTATGAGCTCTACCTCCAGTCAAAAATTTTCTCCTGTGTAAAAGAACAGTGTTGAAAAGTGAAGAAAAATTGACAGAAAACGTTTAGAAACAAAAGGCAGAATTTTCCCTATTACCCTAATGAAATAATAATAATAAAAATAATAATCTATTAATACCCAGGAAAGCATTGTTAGAAAAGATAATGATCTATCCCAAATTATTCTTGCCATTAAGGTAGCGAAACTGAACATGTCCTCCAGTATTTTTCTTTTATCAGTTACCATGCAGCTACACAAACCATACATAAAACTGTCACCAAAGTGAATCCCCATTAGGATTCTAGACATATGCAAAATTTGTATTAACTTGCCTCTTTCCACCCCCTGGGGAAACTTTTCTACCAGAGAAAATCTGGAAACAGGAGAGGATGGCTAAATCAGACCCACTAGACAAAACACATCTGTGATGACTGAGAGACATGAACAAATGTTACTCATGTCCAGAAAATGAGACACACTATCTCATTTTTACTCTAGACTGCTAATTTTCTGCTCCTTTCCACAGTCTATACAAGTAAGGACCCTACATTTGTTTAAACCCGTTTATTTACAGAACTCCTCTGAGCATTTACTAGCTTTATGGTGGTAACTCAAGGGGACTGTTTTAGTTGACACACTGGAAAAAAAAAACAACCAACCCACAAGCATAAATCTGAGAAGGGAAATTCTTCTTTTACGAAGAAAATTGCAGTTCTGACAGTGCAAATAACTACAAAAGGGTCAACAGGTAACAGTCTACTGACAAAACCATAGAGAACATTTAAATCAATGGGTGAAGAGGCAGCCGTGTATCATTTATTTATTTTTATTAGCTGATGCTCCAAGCAGAATAAAAGAATATGTATGATCTATGTGCAGAAACAACATGAATGCTAATATCTGTAAAACAAACAGAACTATAATATTACTTGCTGTTCCTACACTATTTTGTAACAAGTGAAAATATATGGCACAACAGCATTTTTTCAAAACTAAATAACCCTTAAAAACATAAATGAGAAAATCCAGAATCCAGGAATTTTCTGACGCAACAAGGAAAGCAGTTCTTTATTTAGGACAGGGATTTCTCCATAAAGAGATCACCTGTGAAAATTATTTTTGTTGCTGGAGTAGGGGCAGAGTCATTGGTATTTTGGCCTCAATCCTGTTAAGCAGATGAGCAGTCCCCACTGAAATAAGCTGCTTGGGACAGCAATTCTAAATAATTCCGCTTTTGTCCCTATGGCTAGCAAAAGATTTTTCCATTTGCAGTGGTCCATATCATTGAATCAAGAACAAAGCAAAAGAATAAAGTTAAATTTCATTTATTATAGATCTCAGTTTCCAGTGATGTGATGAAACAACTATGCCGCCTGTCAAAAACGTAGGCAAACTGTGACCAGTTATGAAACAGAAGATGCTGGCAGGCCCAGCTTCTGGCGTCTGCACCTGAAGCAATTCCCTATTAGGGATTGCTTCCCAGTGATCCCCCATATCTCCTCTCTGCTTCTTAACCCAATAGAGCTTGGCATCTACAAGCCTTCCCTTTCGTAATCTGTGACCAGCAGATTAGCTACTCAAAACACAGCTTTATTTATTCACTCTCCCAAGACACAGTGCCTACAAGACAAAGCATAAACAACAGTAACA